TTTAGATATAGCTCCCATATATATTTTGGTCCGATTTAAGGTAACGGGGCGCCAAAGTCCCATAGGCATAGCGTACTGAATTAAGTCTAGAATGATGTGTGCAAAGTTTCGTGAAAATCGGTTTAGATTTAGATATAGCTCTCATATATAGTTTCGTCCGATTTTAGGTAAATAGTTCACTAAACTCCCTGGAAATCTTTTGATTTGCACGAAATTTGGCATATCATACTGAATTAAGTCTAGAATGATGTGTACAAAGTTTCGTGAAAATCGGTTCAGATTTAGATATAGCTCCCATATATAGTTTCTTCCGATTTTAGATAAATGGTGCACCAAAGTCCCTGGAAATCTTTTCATTTGCACGAATTTTGGCATAGCGTACTGAATCAAGTCTAGAATTATGTTGCTAAGCTTCGTGAAAAGGTCCATAGATAGACCAATTGACACAACGTACTGAAGTAATATACATACGTCTCTGGCAAGTTTCCCTGAAATCGGTTCAGATATAGATATATAACAAAAACCCGACGTCTGTTGGTTACATATGTAGAATATACCCAAAGTGGTGAAGGGTATAATATAGTCGGCGAAGTCCAACTTTACTACTTTCCATACTGGTTCCTTTTTGCGTTTTTCGTTCTCATTTTCTGGAACCGTAAACCAATTACTACAAATATTCTACACAAAAAAGGTCCCTCATTATTTTTTAAGTAGCATCCTCAAGGACAAGAAAACTATATCTGGTTTCATTGATCTTTTCCTCTTTTACCCGGCACTTCCTCAGATAATAAAAATACTAGTCATGGAACGGTTTAAAGTAATCGATTAAACATATCACTCATTTGCTGCAAGAGAGGCATAACTCACAAAACCCGATTTTCGAGTTAATGATGCACGATTGTTCGCTATAATAGAACTCATGTTGTGTAAAAAATTCATATGAATATATCTCACACACTATAATTGAGAAGCTATAGAAGTTCCTCTGTCCCATATAAAGTGTGAGTAAATTAAAAATTTAAAATGCATTTTCTGCAAAATCGATTTTTTTGAGTTTTATTGCAAATGAGCGATATAATTTTAATGCTAATAAAATTTGATTACTACATGGACAAAATAGATACAGTATAAACTTGATAATCCGGACCTCGACAATCCGGATTATTCGGTAATCCGGACTGCATTTCACAACCCATTGCGTATCCTATAATCCGGATTGATTGACCTATTTGACTCAAAAATCCGGATTGTAAAGATACGTTACTTTTTATTTTAATAAAAAAATCGTTGCAAATTTAATTGAAAATGGTACCTATTATATTCAAAGTTCATATTTTTGAAATGAATAATTTTCATTTTTAATAAAAACATAAAAATACTTAAATTATCACCAAATTAATATAAATTTAAACCAATTAATAAAACTCGATAATCCGGAAATCTCGGTAATCCGGATTGGGGTCTGCAATCAATTATCCGGATTAGCGAGTTTTTACTGTATGTAGTACTATTCAAATTTTGAATTTTTATTTTGTGGAACTTATATTTTATCTTTTTAGATAACGTATCTGCACACAGCCATTTTATTGGACTGTGGATATCAATTTCTATATTTGTTTAGCTAAAAATAATTATCTTCAACATTTTCATTGAAGCTAGTGGCAACATTCTGTAATCGTTAAGTGTGGTTAACAACCTTAACAGGGTACGTCAAGATATTAATAAATAACATCACTACCAGCAGGTGGCGCTCTCTGAGATTTACCATCATATCATAGAACCTTAGCAGGAAAACCACAAAATATGGTAACATGACATTAGTCGTTAAGAATATAAAATCATTCGTTAAGTTTTCTAAATGTCAAATTTCAACGTTAGATGGCGCTTGCATATTTTTTGTATTCCGGTACAATAAATGGATGTTGTGGATTTTATGAATATTTTTCAAACGTTTAAAAGAATTTCCAAAGATATTTATAAAAATGATTTATAATATTTATTATAGGTTTTTTAATTACGTATTTCTTATTATTTTTTGACTAAAGAAATATGATGTTTTTAATAGATGTAAGTGCAGATTAAAAAAATCCCTTTTCCAGTATCCATAAACATATATTTTTAAGATATAATTTTTTTTCTAGTAGTAGCGGTTTTTTAAAAATTATTTTACTAGTACAAATAGCCGAGAACATTTTAATAAATTAGATTTTTTAAATAACATATTTTCTGCTTCACGAATTTTAAATAAATGAATATTGAAGTTTTTTAATTGTTTTTTTAATAGCATGGTTTTTTAATAAAATCCATATTTTTTTAAATATTTATAATATCCATATTTGTTTGTTCATTAGCTATAGGCTTGAATTTTTTTTAATTTATTATTTTCCTAGCAGCCATACGTATGATTTTTTAAAATTAATTTGTATTCAGTAGCCATAGGCGTACATTAAAAAAAATCTAATCGCGATAGGCCTGGATTTTTTAAAATTATGTTTTTTTTCGAAAATTCATAGTCCTGGATTAATTTGAAATTCGGTAGTCATAGGCGTGGATTTTTTTAAGGGAACCCCCCTCATTCTCAATTTTTTATTTTTAAGATTTTAAATGGGCTGGTAAATGAATACCAATGCTTGTTAAGGTTTGTAACTTTGCACAATTTTATTTGAAGATTTAAAAAGAAAGAAAAATAATTTACAAAAAATTTTTGTTGTTGTCTTGTTCTTGTTTTTTGTGATTGAAGAAAAGTCCTTATTTTTGATGGCGGGCATGATAACTCCTCACTGGAACATCGGAATCCGAAAATTCCAACGGTGTTGGAAAGGGTACATGTCTGGCTCTCGAATAAACTAGAATTATTGAATTCGCTCTAAACTTAACAAAATGGCGGACCTTTGAAAAAATATTTTTAGAAAATAGCCGATTTTTTACCAAAAACCAAGTTAAAAAATAAGGAAGATCTTCACCGATTGGCTTTATCCTAGTTTATACGATAGCTATACACTCACAGAGAAACGTGTAAAAATTTGGAATCGATTGGGTTATTAGTTTTTGAGTTATCGTGCCCGCCATTCGCAAAAGAGAAAAACGCGTTTAAAGTTTGAGAAGCCCTTTAGCCATCACTTCATGCTGACACAATAAATCGGCTATATCTTCAAGAGTTCTTGAGATACTGAAATTTTGTAGGGACATTCTTGAATTAGTGTAGATTCGAATTAAATCAAAAAATTTTTTGACCCCGAGAATGGGGGGTCCCCTTAAATTCATTTTTTATTCCACCACACTGTGGTGCAGGGTATTATGTCTTTGTGCATATGTTTGCAACAAGCAAAAGGAATCGAGATAGACCCATTGTTCCTTTTGAGAATATGCATAGAATCACTTTCTGAGTCGATTTATGCATGTCCGTCTGTCCACCCGTCCGTCCATGTATTTTTGTGAACAAAGTACAGGTCGCATTTATGATCCGATTTGGATGAAATTTGGCACATGTGACTTATTTGGCCCAAGGACGAACCCTATTGAAATTGGGAAAAATCGGTTCAGATTTAGATATAGCTCCCATATATATATATATATATATTTAACCAATTTAATGTAAACGGTCCCTATATATCTTTCGATTTGCACGAAATTTGGTACAGCCTAATCATTTAGGTTTAGAATGATGTCTGCCAAGTTTCGTGGAAATCGGTCCAGATTTAGATATAGCTCCCATATATAGTTTCGTCCGATTTCATGTAAATGGTGCCCCAAAGTTCCTATATATCTTTTGATTTGCACGAAATTTGGTATAACGTGCTGAATTAAGCCTAGAGTGATGTATGCCAAGTTTGGAGAAAATCGGTCCAGATTTAGATATAGCTCCCATATAAAGTTTCGTCCGATTTCATGTAAATGGTGCCCCAAAGTCGCTAAATATCTTTCGATATATGGGAGCAAAAAGAAAACGTGGACTTATATACTCCATTTACAATACCAAACTTTCAAGTAATAACCATGAAAGCACGCATTGATAATTATACCCTTCACCACACTGTCGTACAGGGTATTATGTCTTTGTGCATATGTTTGTAACTGGCAAAAGAAATCGAGATAGACCCATGGTTCCTTTTGAGAATATGCATAGAATCGCTTTCTGAGTCGATTTATGCATGTAAGTCCGTCCGTCTGTTGATATTAAATTGTAAATAAAGTACAGGTCGCATTTAAAATCCGATTTGGGTGAAATTTGGCACAGTTCACTTATTTGACCCAAGGACGAACCCTATTGAAATTAGAGAAAATCGGTTCAGATTTAGATATGCTCCCATATATAGTTTCGCCCGATTTAATGTAAATGGTGTACCAAAGTCCCTATATCGTACTGAATAAGGTCTAGAATGTTTTGTGTTAAGTTTCCTGAAAATCGGTCCAGATTTAGATATAGCTCCCATTTATATAGTCGTCCGATTTAATGTAAATGGTGTACCAAAGTCCCTATTTATCTTTCGATTTGCACGAAATTTGGCACAGCGCACTGAATAAGGTGTAGAATGATGTGTGTTAAGTTTCCTGAAATCGGCCCAGATTTAGATAGAGCTCCCATATATATTTTCCAAAGTCCCTATATATTTTTCGATTTGCAGGAAATTTTGCATGGCGTACTGAAATAAGAGTTGAATGATGTGTGCTAAGTTTCGTGAAAATCGGCTCAGATTTAGATAAAGCTCCCATAAAGATTTTTTACGATTTGATGTAAAGGGGGGCACAAAAAACACAAAGTTACGCCGATTGTCACAAAATATTGCACAACGTACCGAAGTTAGAGGAATCTAGCTTATGGCAAGTTTTGTTTAAATTGGTTCAGATTTGGATATTTGTTTAATATACCCATAGTGGTGAAGGGTATCATATAGTCGGCCCCGTCCGACTTTACTACTTTCCTTACTGGTTTAATTTTTATTTATTTGCATTTACAAATATTATATCAAATTAAAAAATGATAAGTAGTTCCATATATTTTACTCATATGTGTAGGTTGAGGTTTCCAGTCCATGTTCTCTCATCTGCGAATCAATCCATCCTCGTAGTCGGGCAACATTGGTATAACCCCCGGGAATGCCAGCAAAACATGCCGCACCAAAAGACGTGATTCCAATTTGATGATAAATTTCCTCCTCCGCTTCGATACGACTTACCAGCGGCGCACCAGAATCGCCAGCACATGTATCATTGCCATTTTGCCCCAAGCCACATATCACTGAACTATGTAATTGTGTATTCATTTCTCTCTCACAAATCTCCCCCGTTAAACTTGTCAACGTTACAGGCTTCATTCTGCGACTTATATCACCAAACATTGATTGTCTACCCCAACCGGTGGCATAGCACAGCGTTCCATTGGGTGTCACATAGTCCGCTGGAGGCAAACACACGGTGTTGATATGATCTGCCAACACAAATGATTCATTAACTATCACCAAAGCTATGTCGTATTTTCGTGCAGCCATCTTCGGATGAATGATGAACTTTTCAATTGATCGCACTTGATAAGGGTAGCGTTCATTGTTGTCTTCGCGATCCCAAAGGCCAGCGCGAATTGTTAAATTTTTATTATCAATTTGTCGCAATAGGCATTGACCTGCAGTTAGTACAACTTTGGGATGTATGAGAGAACCGGCACACAGCAATCTCTGATTATTTGTAATGTCAATGGTCCAGGGAAATTCTCCAAATTTACTTTCACCTGGGGGGCCAGAGGGAGGAATGGCGAAATTGAGGGCTCCCAGAACACCTTCCTTATTTCGTTGGCCACATTTAATTGGTTGGGTTTCCTCAGCTTGGCTACAGGGGCACTGTAACCAAATAATTCCAATAAAAATTAGAATCCGAACTAAGGGTCTTTGAAATCTGCTCATCTTCTTCGTGGGATGTGGTGGTTACTTTAGCAACTCGCGTGATAATGAATCATTTTTATAATTTGCAAGATTTTTATATTCTTCACAGGCATTCATTTTTTTTGGAACAATTAATTGATAAGGTCCGAAAATTTTCGCCGAATATTTGTTATGAGTTCAAATGCCCCCATTGGAGAAATACGTAAATATTTTACACAGGCAAACATATTTTGTTTTTATTAATTTCTCTTTCGAGATGAGCTACATGATCGCAGTTGCAATGAAAAGGTAAGCCAGAGAGATACTACATTCCCACCACTATGCGACGCGTTTAACCGTTGGTTATTTTTGCCTAGGAATGTTGTTTTCAAGGTGTCAACATAGGCGTGGATTTTTCAAATTCATTTTTGCCTAGTAGACATAGGCGAGGATTTTTTAAAATTCATTTTTTGCCTAGGAAACATTGGCGATCTAACACAACACGGAAAGTCGACGTCGAAAAGCTGCAAACACAACAGGTAGCCAAGGCCTACTCCGCTCAACTTACCCACCTGCTTGATGAAAGCACTTCTTGTCCCGATAATAGTATAGAAGCACAATGGCAAAGAATTGCCCACTCCCTACAAACTGCAGCAAAAGCAACACTTGGGTACCACAAACCACCAACAAGAAACCCATGGTACTATCAGGTGTGTCATAATGCTACTGATGTGAAAAAGGCAGAGTATAGGGCAACCCTGCAGACAGTAGCAACAAGTAACGTGATGGAAAATTATCGGGAGAAAAGGAGAGAGGAGAAACGTGTTTTCAGAAAAAGAAGAAAGAACAAGAAAATACGTGGGCGTGAGCAAATCGAGATGTACAGGAGTCAGAATTAAGTCCGGAAATTCTACCAACGACTAAACCGAAGGCTTTGTTGCAGGCACATCCTCCTGTATAAATGAAGAAGGAAACCTGGTGACAGATACAGACAACGTGTTGAGGATCTGGAAGGATCGTTTTGAAAAGCTTCTGGTATCAAATAGTGGCATTGAAGAAGATACCCCAGAACCAATAAGAGATGATGGTATAGAATGTATACCACCTAGCCAAGATCAGGTCATAAAAGCAATTAAACGGCTCAAGAACAATAAAGTAGCAGGAGCCGATGGGTTACCAGCCGAACTATTCAAGATTGGTGGCCAGATGCTGGTCAGGAGCATGCACCAGCTGATTAGTACAATTTGGCTAGAGGAATGCATGCCCAATGATTGGAACCTCAGCATCCTGTGTCCCGTGCCAACTATAGAGGAATAAGTCTCCTTCCCATCGCATATAAAGTGCTATCCAGTGTGCTGTGTGAACGATGGTCAATGTCATCATTGGACCATACCAATGCGGCTTCAGACCTGGCAAATCCACCATTGACCAGATTTTCACTCTGCGCCAAATCCTGGAAAAGACCCACGAAAAACACATTGACACATACACCTATTTGTCGACTATAAAGCCGCATTCGACATCCCTATCCGTCCAGAGGTGTTTAAAGCCATGTCTGTGTATGGTATTCCTGCAAAATTAATTCGGCTATGCAGGATAGTGGCACAAGGTCAGCAGTTAAAGTAGAAAAGGACCTATCGGGACCCTTCAATACCGAACGAGGATTCAGACAAGGTGACAGTTTGTCGTGTGATCTTTTTAACAACCTGCTGGAAAAGGTCATACGACAAACAACACCAGTTACTCGCCTACGCCGATGACATCGATATAATTGGTCGAACATTGCGAGCGGTAACAGCTACCTTTGAACAAATTGAAAAGGAGTCTGCCAATGTGGGTCTGGCAGTAAACGGCGAAAAGACCAAGCTGACGGTATCAACGCGCAAGACGTCCAGTAGACTCGGACCAACTGTGGAACTTGAGAACTACAGCTTCGAGGTAGTCAAAGATTTTATATACCTTGGTACCGCCATAAATAAAACGAATGACATCAGTTTTGAAATTCGGAGAAGGATAGTGATGGCCAACAGATGCTACTATGGTCTAAGTAAGCAGTTTAGAAAGAAGACCACCTCCCCCCAGACGAAACTCACACTTTACAAGACGCTGGTACTACCAGTGCTATGGATCTGAAGCATGGGTACTTGCGCAGCTCTTGGGGTGTTTTTAAAAAAGAAAAATACTCCGAAAGATCTAGGGGCCGATCTGCGTCGACGGTGAATATTGGCGTCGAATGAACCACGAGCTTTACAATTTATACCCAGACATCGACATAGTCAGTCGTATTGAGCTGCAGCGACTACGCTGGCTAGGCCATGTTGTGCGAATGAATGAGAATGCCTCAGCTCAAAAGGCATATAAAAGCGAGCCTACTGATGGTTCCCGTAGAAGGGGAAGGCCACGAATTAGATGGAAGTTAATGGGTCAAAATTTTTTTAGATTTAATTCGAATCTACACTAATTCAAGAATGTCCCCACAAAATTTCAAGTGAAAATCTCAAGAACTCTCGAAGATATAGCCGATTTATTGTGTCAGCATCAAGTGACGACTAAAGGGCTTCTCAAACTTTAAACGCGTTTTTCTCTTTAGCGAATGGCGGGCACGATAACTCAAAAACTAATAACCCAATCGATTTCAAATTTTGACACGTTTCTCTGTGAGTGTATCGCTATCGTATGAACTAGGATAAAGCCAATCGGTGAAGATCTTCCTTATTTTTTACCTTGGTTTTTGGTCAAAAATCGGCGATTTTCCAAAAATATTTTTTCAAAGGTCCGCCATTTTGTTAATTTTAGAGCGAAGTCTATAATCCTAGTTCATACGAGAGCCAGACATGTACTCTTTGTAATACCGTTGGAATTTTCGGATTCCGATGTTCCAGTGAGGAGTTATCATGCCCGCCATCAAAAATAAGGACTTTTCTTTAATCACAAAAAACAACAACAAGACAACAACAAAAATTTTTTGTAAATTATTTTTCTTCCTCTTTAAATCTTCAAATATATATGTGCAAAGTTACAAACCTTAACAAGCATTGGTATTCATGTACCAGCCCATTTAAAATCTTAAAAATAAAGAATTGAGATAGGGGTGGTTTATAAACATCAATAAGTACTATATAACCTTCAAATATACCTCAACATTCGCCATTTATATATAAAAAGCAATTGCCATCAACAATACTACAAAAACAACAATAAGTCCACAATCAATAAAAACAGCAACAACAAATGTAATGTTTATTCCACAACAACAGCAACAACAAATGTAATGAAAAAAAAGGAAGAAAAAATGAAGGAAGTAATTCATCGATTTATGCTTGCTTGCACAGACTACTGGTCGTGGAGTTTTTTTGATGTCAGTCGTCGTTACGACGATATACACGCATACTCACACAGACCCTCACACTCAATGACATAACGAGATTATTGAGGATTTCTTGTGACAAAAATATGGGTAGTTGATAGGCCAAAAGCCATTGCCATTGATATATCCTATGATGCGGAAGTCCTTTGGATGTTTGACTTCGTTTGGATTTTTATAAGTATGTGTGTAATTATAGAAAATTATTTTTTGTTGTTTTCTTTATTATGTTTATTTGAACGTATGTTGGATTAATGGATATATCGTTTTCGAACATTTTCGTACTCTTGACATTCGACGAACGTACACCATGATATATGAGTTTAATTAGTAATAAATTTTGGGGAGACATGTGGTGTTCTATCAGAAGAGGCCTCCATCTATAATGTTTCTTTCTACTTATAGAAGACCTGTTGGAAATAGGTCATAGGTTTAATATATAGAAAATCAGCAGGAGGTAAATGTGCATTTAGGAGACAAAAAAATCTTCTTAAAAAATCCATGCCAAAGAATGTGCCTCAGAAAAAAAATCTTTTTTAAAAATCCACGGCTAAGTCAAAAAAAAAAATCTTCTTTAAAAATCCACGCCTAAGTCAGAAAAAAAATTTTCTTAAAAAATCCACGCCAAAGAATGTGCCTCAGAAAAAAAATTTTCTTAAAAAATCCACGCCAAAGAATGTGCCTCAGAAAAAAAATCTTTTTTAAAAATCCACGCCTAAGTCAAAAAAAAAATCTTCTTTAAAAATCCACGCCTAAGTCAGAAAAAATCTTCTTAAAAAATCCACGCCAAAGAATGTGCCTCAGAAAAATTTTTTTTTTTAAAAATCCAAGCCTAAGTCAGAAAAAAATCTTCTTTAAAAGTCCACGCCTAAGTCAGAAAAAATCTTCTTTAAAAATCCACGCCTAAGTCAGAAAAAATCTTCTTTAAAAATCCACACCTAAGTCAGAAAAAATTTTCGTTAAAAGTCCACGCCTAAGTCAGAAAAAAATCTTCTTTAAAAGTCCACGCCTAAGTCAGAAAAAATCCACGCCTAATTCAGAAAAAATCTTTTTTAAAAATCCAAGCCTAAGTCAGAAAAAATCCACGCCTAATTCAGAAAAAATCTTTTTTAAAAATCCAAGCCTAAGTCAAAAAAAAAAAAATCTTTAAAAATCCACGCCTAAGTCAGAAAAATCTTCTTTAAAAATCCACGCCTAAGTCAAAAAAAAATCTTCTTTAAAAATCCAAGCCTAAGTCAAAAAAAAAATCTTTAAAAATCCACGCCTAAGTCAGAAAAAATCTTCTTTAAAAACTCACGTCTAAGGTCATGTTTCAAAAATGTATTCTTTAAAAATCCACGCATCCAAATCTTGGGAACATTTAAAAAATACTTCCCGAAAAAAATCTATTTTTATCACACTCCGAATTGTCAACCAGCTACCAGTGTATATAACGATTAGAAAATTTGAGGAATTGCAATCAACCACGAACTTATTGGAATATTACCTATACAGATATTTGTCCCTTGCATCGGAATTTGTCCCGACATATAAGAAAAACGTATTCATTTCTGCTTCTTCACACGAAGAAGTGTCATTTTGGTTATATGCATTCTGATTCTCCTCTGTTGTTCTA